CATAAATCAATTTAGGAGAAATATTAATCTTAAAAGATTGATTCTGATGATAAATAATGAATTTTAAAAAATATGCATAAAGGTTAAATAAATAAATTAGTTACTAATTTTAATATACATTTTAAAGATTTAAAAATCATATAAAATTTTAGTTAACCTTGTTTTAAAATATATTAATTAAATTCAAATAAATAGTTTTACTAACGATCATAATTATTTAAATTTTATTTTTATTTGCAATTTATCTTTAAATAATATCAATGAATCTATTGCGGAAAAATATTTTAATGCTAACTTTGTGAATCAATTTTGATTGTTAATCGCGTTCTAAAGGTAAAAAAAAAAAACTTATGAATAAGACAGATTACCAATTTTATAAATCTAAATGAGAAGATAAATTCGTTTTTTTTTTTTCTTTTTTTTTTTAAACCAAGGTTTTTCTGTCAAGTACTAAAAGCTGTATGTACTATTTAAATATATATCTTTTTTTTTTTTAACTTTGATACTTTTTCAATGCTGAAATATCATCAAGCATGGCGCGAATTTCCTCATCAGATCTTTTAGCTAAACTGTATAAAAATTTTTTTTTTTTTTTAAAAAAAAAAAAGAAAAATTCAGCAAACCGTCAAGAATGAATGAATGATATTTCTCAACTTTCCCATCTCACCTTGGTATTAATGATTTTGCTTCGTCTATTTCTTCACAAACTAGATTTGCCAACTGTGCTAATTCATACTTGTGAAGTTTATGTCTCATCAAAGTTCTATAATCAATTCATAATTACATAATTATCATTAAATGAAAAGTTTTTTTTTTATTAATGAAAATATCATTGGTCACTCACTTTCGAAGTTCACGCACTGATTCATCGTTATGAAACCTTGTAAATGTATTTACTAATTCCTCAGTTTTTCTATATACACTATAATATTTTTTTTTTTTTTATTAAAGGAAGAAATATTTAGGCATAATGAAATCAAATTTATTTTGTCTAATTAAAGATTTATTATATTAACTTATTATTCTTTTGAGACGGGGGTATCTTTTCCAACAAGAGTGCTACTTCAGAAATAAACAGAAACTCTTCGTCCTCAAAATCTGCCAATCATTATAAAAATTATTAAATCTGTCATTTATATAACCAAAATTTATTTATTTATTTATAATAAGTAGAAATTTAAGATTTGTGTATAAAAACCTTCGCCAAATTTCAGCTTCGCAGCATCCTCTTCCTCTTGAGGAGCTTTACGTGCACGACGAGTAATCGGGATGTTTTGAGACATACTGAAAAGTTAACCCTTTCTATAGACAAGAAAAATTGAAGGAATGTTGGTCGATCGGGTTTTTTCGATCAAAAAAAAAAAAAAAAAATAGTAGAGAGACAGGCAGACAAAAATCTAACTGTCTTGATTTTTCTTTTTGGTCCGATTTAATTGGTTCGATCGATTGGTGATATTATAATGTCGATCAATGTGCATTGTCTGTCCTTTTATTTAAAAATAACTTTGATTTTTTAAAGGCAAAACCAACAAAGCAAATAACTTAATAAATTAAAAAATACATTATTAAAATTATTTAAATCTACTACTACTATTACAAGGTTCATCAACCTGTGTAAGTCTCAATAATGTCAATAAATAGAAATCGGATAATAGATAAAGAACAAAATCAAAATCAATATGGAACGAGAGTGTTTCTTAAACCAGCAAATCACTGACTTACAATACTAGTTGTTGAAAAAGGTTGAACTTTTGGACGTTCGCGATTACGTCTAACTTGATTTTCTGATTGATTTGAATTATCAGAAATAAAATCTCGTCTCTGAGTTTCTACATCTTCATCATCAAGTCCTGCAGCATTACGGAGGGCAAATGAATCATCAAGCAGGCGACGACGAAGTCGAAAGACAATTTCGTCCAATGTCAATTCTATTTGACAATGATTTTTAATAATAGAAATTTCTGATAAATGGTCAAAGATAAAAACTGATATTATATCATTTAAATGTTTTTTTTTTTTTTTTTCGCCGAACAAAAAGGATACTTAGCCAAGTGGCCCTTTCACCTCTTAACGTAGCTTCTCGCATGGATTGCGGAGTAGGATTAGAAAGAATCTTCAAAAAATCAGTATATGAAAGGTTGGGAACTATAGTAATATCTCCATAATATCGTTGAGACATAATAGATTGTACTCTATAAATTAAACTCGGAGCAATGCCAACCTCGCTCAGCTATTTAAAATAATGATTATTCAAAAATCATTATCATTTGCTGTAAAATAGATTATTATATTAAT